AAAAAAAAAAAAAAAAAAAAAAAAAAAAAAAAATACAAAAGTAAATATATAAACTTCGTTTAAAATATAAGTTAAAATGTAAAATAATGGTAAAATAGCAAATCTAACATATGCACATATATTTATATTTTTATGTTTAAAAGAACTTCTAAAATTTTTCTAATTTTGTTATTTATATATTTTTTTCTTTAGTCTAAAGTCTAATATATGAAAAACAATAATAAGTATTCTAAATTTATATAAGTTACAATGTAATCTAATAGAATTTCTTTTTCTTATTAGCAAAAATTTAATATTTCTTTTTTCTTTTTAATACTTTTTTTTTTTTTTTTTTTTTTGTATAAAAATAATCTGCTTTCCTCCTATCTTACTTTCTTATCTTCTTTTCTTATCTTCCTTTCTTTTCCTTTATGAAAAAATCCACACATTTTTATTTTTTTAATTTGTATTAAAATTTATATTTTTTTTTCTTTTTTATACATAATAATAATAAGTAAAAAATTATATATTTTTTCATATTTATTCTTTATTCTTATTATTTTATATAATTTTTTTTTATATATGTAAAGAAGATGTTTTTTAAACATTTTTCTATTCTATCTAATAGTAATAATCTTTTAAAACAAAAAAAAAGAAATTTGTTTTATTCAAATTTTTTTGTTATAAATTACTTTATGAGTAGTTCATTAAATCGTAATATTTATTATAATGAATTTTATCAATTAAATAATATTTATCCTTGTAAAAAAAATATTAAAAATATAAATAGTATTAATTCCATATATAAGAATATATTTATGATAAAAAGATGTATTTATGTAACATCAAGGTGTAATTTCAAAAATCAGCATAACTTAAATAGAAGAAAAGAGAATATATGTAAAATGAAAAGAAAAAAAAGGAAAATATATTATAATTATTTAAAATACATAATTAATATAAATAGATCAAATGTAAAATGTTTATACCTACAAAAGGCTTTACGTTATTTACAAAATTATAAAAAATATATAAGAAAAAATGTGAAAAATAATAAATCAAAGTTTGAAAAAACATATTTATATAAGAAATTGTATCATTCTAATAATGTAAAAAATTTTAAGCTTTTACATAAAAATTCTCATAACACAAATGTAATAAAATGTGAGAAAAATTCTGAAAATTTTAAAAAGGATGAGACAAAAAATGAAAAAGACTTATTTATAAAAGAAAAGATGAACTCTTATAAGGATGATATTATATATGAAAATAATGAAATGAATTTACACAATAATGTTGATGAAAATTTTCATAAAAATGATGATAAAAATTCATATAAAAAAGTGGGTGAAAATAAAGTAAAAAACACGGGAAATACTATGTGTCAGAATTCATATAAAAAACTTGATCAAAATTCTAAAGATTTCGATAAGCATATAGAGGAAAAAACTCATGAAAAAGGAGAAATGAATATAAAAATAAATGATTTAATATTAGTAGCATTATCTGGTTGTATTCCTTTTATTTGTTTTGGGTTTGTTGATAATTCTTTTATGATAATTGCTGGTGATCTTTTTGATTCAACTTTTTGTATTTTTTTGGGTTTTAGCACAATGGCAGCAGCAGGTTTAGGAAATTTAACTAGTGACGTTTTAGGAATATTCATTGGAGGATATATAGAAAAAATAATTGTTTACATTGGTTTTCCACGAATAAATCTAACAAATAAGCAATTGAAAATGAATAGAACTAGAAGATATTATTATGTTGGTAGTGCTTTAGGTATAGCAATAGGATGTTTATTAGGTATGATCCCATTACTATTTATAGATAATAATAAGTTAGAAGAAAAAAAAAATAGAGAAAAAAAGAAAAAAAAACATAATAAGTTTCCTAATGTTAATAAAAAACTATTTGAATTTGTATCTTCGGAAATCCCTAAGTATATTAATTCCAATTATGCTTTTTTATTTATTGTAGATAATAACAATAATAATTTTTATTCATATATTAACAATGAAATTATACATTTATCATTGGATGAAGGTGTCATCGGAGAAGTTTATAAAAATAAAAAAGCTATCAACTGTGAAGTTAATAATCAGTTGAAAAATACTGTATATTCTTATAAGCCTAATATTAAAGACAAAGAAAATAAAAATCATACAAATGATAATCATCATAATGGGGGATTTTCAGTCAAAATTATTGAAAATACAAATTTAATTTTGAATAAAGAAAAAATTGATATTCAACAAATTATAGCAGCACCCGTATTTGGTTTAGATGTAATAATAATAATAAAAAAAAAAAATAAATTAAAAAATTTAAATTAATATTTAACATTTTCATTTTTTATACAATTATTAATTTTTTATATTTTAGGATTCCATAATAGGTGTTGTAGTTGTTATTAATGTAAAGGATAAACTTTTTTTTAACAATAAGGATGTTGAATTTCTAAACTTATTTTGTTCTCATATATCTCAAGAAATTGAGGATGAAAGAGACCTTTGCAAAACTTTAAAGTAAAATATAAAAAGAAAATTTTTTTTCTTTTTTTTTATTATAATAAAAAATGAAATAATTTTTTTTTTAAAATTTTTTTTTATTTTTAGGTTATGTAAAAAAATTGTATATGACTAAAAAAAAAAAAAAAAAAAAAAAAAAAAACCAGTAAACCCTTTATATTTATACAATTTTATTTTTTTTTTTAAGTATTTTCTATTTGCATATTTTATAAAAATTTATAATTTATTTGTTTAAAATTTTAAAAGTTTGTTTGTCTACTTAAATAACCATCTATTAAAAAATAAAAAGAAAAATAATAAATATATATAATTATATAAATGAAATCTGTTTATGTATATATTTATCTTTTATAAATAAATATTAAAAAAAAATTATTTTTAAATACCTTTAAGTATAAAAATATTGTCACATAAATCCAAATTAGATTTTTTATGTGTTATACGAATTATTGTTAATTTTTTAAAAATAGAACTTTTTTTTATATTTTCAAAAATCGCCCTTTCATTTTCTTTCCCAAGAGATGATGTTGATTCATCAAGTAGCAATATCTTCAAAAAAAAAAATAAATAACAAATATAAATTAAATAATATAATATTTAACAAATATAAATTAAATAATATAATATTTAACAAATATAAATTAAATAATAAAATAAATAACAAATATAAATTAAATAATAAAATAAATAAATATATTATAATTTAATAATGTTCTGTTAAGGAATAATTGCAAAAAAAAAAAAAAAAAATTTTAAAAGTATGTAATTAATAAATTGAAAATATAGATATATAAGGAAATTCAAGTAATTAGAGAATATAAATAATAACATAAAATATTTTAATCATTTTATAGATTTTCTTTTAAAAGAATTTTTCTTAAATAGTTTTATAAATGTAAATAACCCAATTTTTTCTTTGGATTTTCTTTTAATTATTTTTTTTTTATTTTTTTTTTAATTAGAATTACCTTAGGATATCTAATCAATGCCCTTGCAATGCATATTTTTTGTTTTTGAGATGAAGATAATAATTCTGTTTTGTTAGAAATGATTGTTTCATATCTTTTTCTTAATCTACTTATAAATTCATGAGTAGTACAACATTTTGATACATTAATTAAATCTAGCATATCAAAATTTTTGTTATCTATCCCATATATTAAGTTTTCTTTTATAGTTGCTTTTAATAACTTTGAATTTTGTTCAACATAAGTTATTTTATCAAAAATTTCACGACTTGAATAACTATTTAATAATTTATTATATAAATATATTTTACCTTTTGTACATTTATATAAATTTAAAATTAATTTTAAAATTGTTGATTTACCACCCCCACTTTTTCCTATTATTACATTATTTGTATTTTTGTAGATTTTCATGTTTATATTTTTTAAAACATAATTAGCAGGATTATTTGAATATTTAAAGAAAACATTTTTGAATGAAAGGATAACATCATTCTCTATATTTGAGGTATCTTTAAAATGTAACACATTTTCCATATTTTTTTTCTTTCTAAAAGTTTTATATATGGAAATTTCCTTTTTATCATTAGTATTTAATTCTGTATTATTATTTTTACTTATTTTATTTGTTTCGTTTATTATGTTATTATTATTTATATGATTTTTGTCTTTTATATCTCCTACATTTACTTCACTTTCTTCCACATCTAACTTATTTGTTACATTTGTTTCTCTCACATTATCATTGTAATTCAGTTTATCTCTATTTTTTATAACATATTTTTTAATTAATTTAATTATGTGATGATATTGATCTACTATATCATGAATGTCAATATAATAATCTAATATGTAAATATAAGAATAAATATTATTAATGTAAAAAAAAAAAGATGTGAATGTTTTTTTATCTATCTGATTATTTTTTAATAATATGTCTCCATGTAAAATAATTAGTATATATGTAATAGTTACAAAAAGTTTATTAACAATCATATGGAATAAATTAAATTGTTCCTTTTTTATTTGCAAATTTAATATACGATTTAAAGAATTTGAATATTTATTATATTCATGTATTTCTGTACTATAAAGTTTAATGATATTCATGTTATTCAATGATTCCAATGATATTTTAGTATTATGTGCCTTTTGTTTATTTATAGATTTTATTCGTTTTTTTTTTAACTTAGAAGAAATCATTGTCAAAAATGACGAAAACAAAAAACAGCAAAGGATAACAGTAGATAGCTTCTTATTTAAGTAAAATATATATGAAAAATTAAGAATAATAGAAAAAAAGTTTCGTATAAATGGATTTATATAATATGGTATTATATCTGAAAAATCATGAGATTCTAATGTTAGTTTATTTATAATTATGTTATGATCAACCTTATCATAATACTCATATTCTTTATTTAAATATATTTTAAATAATATGCTTTTTACTGTTTTTAAACAATCCGAACTTGTAATCATAAATATGTAATTTCTTAAACTACATAAAGATATGTTAATAATACGAAAAAAAATACAATTGAATAATATATAATAAAAATTATCTAATTTTCTATTTGTTAATTCACTAAATATTAAGTTATCAAATCTAGGAATAATTATACTAATAATAGCACTATTTATCATAACAAATATTGTTAAAAAGAATATTTTTTTTTTCCATAATATATTCTTACATATCCATATAAAATTTATCATGTTGTTTTTTTCTATGTATTTTTTTATCATTAATGTATAATATTTTGTTTGTGAACTTAACTTTTTTAAAAAAAAGTTCAATTTTTCTTTACATAATTCATAGCTCCTCAGAAATTTATTTCTATAACACAATTTAAATGGTGATCCTATTTTAATTAAATTTTTATTGTTTTTTTTTTTTCTTATTATATTATATACTTTTGTTTTCAAATTTTTATTTTGAATATAATGTATTTTATAAAAAGAATTTATAAAAGAATATTTCAATATTTTTTTAAACTTAATTATATGCTTTTTATTTTTGTTATATGGATACTTATTTATTGATTTAGTTAATTTAATTTTTTCACTTAAATCAAAAACCTTTTTTTTTATAAACTTACTAATAGTAAAATTTGTTTCATTTCTAATAGTAATTTTTGATTTCGTAAAGAATTCTTTACGTAAAATTAATAATAGCAACACAACTAAGAGTGATAAACATTTCTGCATTTTTTAGTCTTTCGTAATATTATTTTACTTTTTTTTCTAAGTATGTCAGTTATAGGTTTAATCAAATAGTTCATTTTGTTAAACAACATCAATAATATTTTCTCTAGATTAAAATAATTACATCAACATTACGTATTTAAACATTCTATTATAATCCTTCTTATATATGACAAAAAAAAAAAAAAAAAAAAAAAAAAAAACATAAAAATAATCTTTATTTTTAATTAAAAAATTTTAAAAAGAAATCTAGATAAAATAGATAAAATTGTATTATCAAACATCATTTTAAAAAATAATATTTTTTATTAAGTAATAAAATAGTATCATTTTTTTTGTATCCTCATATTATTATTTTCCTATTTTTTTTTTTTTTTTTTTTTTTTTA